GCGCGCGCGCGCGCACACACGCACACGCACACACGCACACACGCACACACGCACACACGCACGCACGCACGCACGCACGCACACAAACAAACAACACACAAACAAAGAAAAACAACAGACGCACAGAACAACAAACACATTCAGAAACACACACACAAGCTCAAGCACTAACACAAACACAAACACACACACACACAGACACACACACACACCACACACACACACACCACACACACACACACACACCTTACACCAGACACCACACACCACACACCACACACCACAGCCCGCACACCACACACCACACCACACACACACATGTTTCGCCCCTCCCCCCTATGAAGCAACGTCCGAGAGCCAGTCAGAGTAAGATTTGCGCCTTTACAGCTTCGGTTTCTACCCCTAGATGGCTCCGCTGAGACTCTTCGGGAGAGCTCGGCTGAACCATCCCGCCCAAGATGGCCCCTTAGACGGCCAGGAGGCCCCCACGAGTCCCCCCCTTCAAAAGCGGTTTTCACCATTGCTCCAAGAGGCCCCCATTAAGCCAACAGGCGCAGGACGAGTCTTCAAGAGCAAAGGAGGAGGAGGAGGAGGAGGACGAGGAGGAGGACGAGGAGGAGGAGGAGAAACGAGTAAGGAATGAGAGGGGGAGAAGCTCGCTCGCTCTCACCCATCAAGCAAGTTCAATGTTCACTGCATCGCATTATCTGGGAACCTGGGGGGTGGTGGGGTACATCATGTCTGCGCCCCGTTCTGCTTGCCGGCTCGGGAGAGCCACGCGCGGCAGATGCAGCGGCGAGCTGCCTGCGCGGGGGCTTGGCCGTCGAACGCGACGGACGGAGCACTTCCGTTGCGAGGACGAGGAGGAGGAGGCACGACGGGGGAGGCACGACGGGGGAGGCACAGGAGGCGGAGGAGGACGAGAGCGAAGCAGAGGCAGCGCCAGCCCTGGGCCTCAGCTCCTGGCCGCCTGAGGCGCCTTTCCAGTCGAGGTCGGCGGTTCTGCCGACGATGCCGACGTCTTCCCACAAAGTGCAGGGCGTGGTTGGTGGAGAATCTCCAGGCACCAGTCCTCCAGATCGGCGCGCGGCGTCTCCGTCCCCGTTCGTGCCATGGGGGCCTGCTCATCACAGATCGCGTCAGCGAAATGCTGGTCCGCCAGCGTGGTTGGGTTGACGGTGCCCTCCAGCCCCCCCCTGCGTGCCTTCGAGCCCGTCCTTCTTCTCAGGCAGTTGTTTCATGTCGAGCCCGTCGATCGTCGCTCGGCCCGCCTTGTCCCCGTCCTTGATCGTTTCCTTTAGCGTCTCCTCCTGCATGGCGGCGCACATGGTGGTGCAGTTCTCCGTGCCGATCGCCTCGGTGTCGATGCCCTCCAGCTCCTGCAACAGGCCCTCCGACACATCATTCTCGGACTGTTGGTAGATGTCGAGACCGTCGATGGTCGCCAGGTCCGCCTTCTCAATCTTCTCCTGGTCCACGTCCTCGGACGTCTCCCTCAACGACTCCTCCTGCTGGTGTAGCCATGGTGCAGCTGCGGTTCACCAGGTCGTACGTGTGTTCGAGCTGTTCGGAAGACAGCCTCCGCAACTCGCACGTGAAGGTGCCCTGGTCAGACGCCACACCATGATTGTTCTGTGCGGATTCGTTGGAGATGCCGTTCGGGTCCATGGCGATGCCCTCCAGCTTCCTCTGGGGAGGGCCAAATTCGTTTTGGGAGGGAGGATGTGGGCCTTTTCCGGCGTCCCCGGCATTATAAAAATGTACACCCGCGGCCTGGCCATTGTTTCCAACGGCTGCCTCGATGCCCCAAGTAGTTTTTCCCTCTGATGGCTTCGGACAGATGCGATTTTACCCCGTCAACGAAGGTACTTTAAATGCATTTCCAACTTCGACTCTTTCCAGCTTCCCTGTATGAATAGGAACTTTGGAGGGAAGGAGCCTCCAGCATGGGGGAACAAGAAGCTTTGAGACTGGAGGCCAGCTTCCCGTTCTGGAGCCCTTCGCTCCCTGGGGGGCAAGGGCGGAGCAGCAGGAGAAGGAGGAGGAGCAGCAGCAGGAGGAGGAGGAGGAGGAGGAGGGGGAGGGGGAGGAGCAGCAGCAGGAGGAGGAGGAGGAGGAGGAGGAGGAGGAGCAGCAGGAGGCGCAGGAGGGCGAGAGGCAGCGCGCGGCGCAGGGTGCACGCCGGCACGCGCGCAAGCGCGCGGGCGTGGCCCTCGGGCCGCCGCGCCTCATGCCCCGAGGAGGCGCGCCGCCGCCTGCTGAGCTCCGGCCTCGTCGCGGAGGTCGTGGGGGGGCTGGTCTGCCGGGGAGCGAAGAATGGCACAAACGTACTCGGCCAAAAAAACAAACGACACCACCCCACCTATACGGTCCTCCATGTTGCGCTACGACCCATCGGGGGCCGTAGCGTATACCATGCAAAAACCCACGCCAGATGTCCTGGAATACGCTACGGCCCCTGGGGCCGTAGGTGGGGTGGTGTCGTTCGCTTTCTGGCCCACATGCAACAAACTCGGAGGTCCTCGCGGATTTTTCGGATCTGCGCTGGACCCCCATTGGCGGCGCCTCCGGCGCCGCCCCCGGCGCGCCAGGGAGGGGGGTCCAGCGCCGATCCGAGAAGTCCGCGTGGACCTCAGAGTTTTTATGTTAATGTCATTGTTCGGTCCCCTAGGTCTTCAGCTTCCGCGTCCTCAGACCGGATTTCTGCGAGAAGCTCATGCAGGATCCCCCTCGAGGAGGGTGGTCGGCTAGACGCAGGAGTGACCCTTTCCGCCGGAGTGACCCTTGGTGCTGGCACAGTGGGGTCCTTCGATCGCAGAACGCGAAGCGGTAGCAGCGGCTTGCGCGCCCAGGTTTGCCCACCCAGGTCACGCGCACCAAAGGTCACCGCCCACCAGCCCACCCCAACCCAACCCGAAGGCTTCGATTTGCCCTCCATTTCCAGCGTGGGTGGGTCGGGGAACATTGAAAAACACGCACGAAGCCCGTACCCCCCCAACCCGAAATTCGGGTCTTCGAGTTGGGTTGGGGTGGTCTGGTAGGTAGTCAAAAGGTCACTCTTACCCAGAGCCACTCCTGCGTGTAGCCAGGGGCGGGAAGCGGGCAGCGGCACGAGCACATACCTACCTCTCGGGGGCCCGCGCGGACTTTTCTTGGGGCCCGGCGCTGCCCACCCCCCCTTCTCCTCCTCCTCTTCCTCCTCCTCCTCCTCCTCCTCCTCCTCCTCCTTTTCCCTCCTCCTCCTCCTCCTTCTCCTCCGCCTCCTCCTCCTCTCCCTCCTCATCCTCCTCCTCCTCCTCCGCCTCCTCCTCCTCCCTCCTCCTCCTCCTCTCCTCCTCCTCCTCCTCCTCCTCCTCCTCCTCCTCCTCCTCCTCCTCCTCCTCCTTCCCCTCCTCCCTCTCCGCCTGCTCCTCCTCCTCCGCCTCCTCCTCCTCTCGTCCCTCCTCCTAGTCCTCCTTCTCCTCCTCCTCCTCCTCCTCCGTCCTCCTCCTCCTCGTCCATCGTCCCTCGTCCTCCTTCCTCGTCTCCTCGTCCCTCCTCCTCCTCCTCCTCCTCCTCCTCCTCCTCCTCCTCCTCCGCCTCCTCCCCTCCTCCTCCTCCGCCCCTCCTCCTCCTCTCCTCCTCCTCCTCCCCCCCCCCCCCCGCGGTGGCGCATCCTGCGCCAGTCCGTGGGGGGGCGGCCGACTCCAAGGACGTCTCCGCGCGACCCTCCAAAGCATGTTCGGCACACGTGCCTGTAGCCGTCTCCTAAGGAGTGCCGCTGCGCAGCGGTACGGTATGTCGGGCGTTGTGGGCGGCCGCGCAAACGAGGGGACGACCATGGTGCCGAGGGGAGCTTGTCGTGCCAGTGTGAGCTCTGCCCCTGTGCATGATCAGCGCAGGTGGAAGCACAGCGCTGTGCAGCGCTGTCAGCGTACACGCGCCTCTGGCGCATGACTTGTGTGTGTGTGTGTGTGTGCGTGTGTGTGTGTGTGTGTATGTGTGTGTGTTTGTGCGTTGTTGTGAGCGTGTGAGTGTGTGTGTGTGCGTGTGTGTGTGTGTGTGTGTGAGTGTGTGTGTGTGTGCGTGTGCGTGTGCGCGTGTGCGTGTGCGTGTGCGTGTGTGTGTGTGTGTGTGCGTCTCTGTGTGTGTGCGTGTGCGTGTGCGTGTGCGTGTGTGTGTGTGTGTCTGTGTGTGTGTGCGTGGTGTGCGTGGTGTGTGTGTGTGTGTGTGCGAAAGTGCCCGCGGACTTGGCGCGGGCCCCCAGGAGTCTTGCGGTGGCAAGTCATGGGAGCCCGGCATACCCTCTTGCATCCCGTCTGTGGCGTCGACTGGCGTCTGGGGGTCGATGAGATAGCGCCGATTTAGCGTCGGCTGGCGTCGATTAGCGTCGATTTAGCATCGACTAGCGCCGACTAGCTTCGATTAGCTTTAAGTCGGGCATGTCCCTCTACAGGAAGAATATTCAAAAATAGTCAAAACATAGTCGGTGGACGATTTCCCGATTTGTTTTTGTATATTTTGGGGTACTTCGTGGCTCTGTTTAATTCTTCTTCCCAAATCCGCCTGTAGGAGGACACGCCCGACCCTAACATCAGCGTCGACTCGCGTCGATTGAGCGCCGGCTAGCGTCGATCAGCGTCGATTTAGCGTCGATTTAGCGCCGACTAGCGTCGACCAGCGTCGATTCGCAAGGGCCGACGAGGTGGCCGCCGAGGAGGTCTCCCCGGCACTGGCTCGCCTGGGCCCGGGCCTCCCCCCGCGGCGGCCCCACGTAGCCGCGCGCCAGAGGTCACGCCCCTGCCCGGGGGGTCGCTGCGGGCGCGCGGCCGGCGCACGGCCCTGAGCGGACTCTCCGTCGGGGGCAGGAGGAGGAGGAGGAGGAGGAGGAGGAGGAGGAGGAGGAGGAGGAGGAGGAGGAAGAGGGATTGATAGACAAAATCCGGCATTTTTTTTTCGAGATGTTTGTTTCCGCCCCCCGCGCCCCCACGTTGATATTGGCAGGCTGTGGCGCGGTTTGTCGATCTGCCGACTGGCTTAAATCCTGCACACCCCGCGGGCGCAGCCAATCAACATTGAATCGGGGGCAGGGGGGCGCCTGGAAGTTTGCGCCGTCGCCCCGGTTGCGCGGCTGGTGCCTGATTTTGTCCGTCAACCGTAGTCCTCCAGGAAGGCGGGGGGGCCGCTGGACCACCAGGTGGATCGGGTGCATCGGCTCGCCAGACGCCATCGGAAGGTTCAGCGGCATCAGCACGATGAGGCGGACCCGCCGTCGCGCTGAGATTAGGCGCAAGTCCAGAAGGTACACTGGCATGGTGATCGGGAGGGTCGCCAGAGATCCCATCCAGCGCAGTGGAAACTCGAGCATCCCCCACAGGCCTCCATGTGCGACGCGTACGGTTGAAATACGCTGCCGCCATGGCCTGTGCCACCGCAGTGGGTTGGCACCGCCGTAGAGACCCTGATCTAAGCGTGGCCAACGATGATCGGGTGCTGGCAGTCGCGTTGCACCTTCGGCATCGATACTGCCCGTCCTCGTCGCACCGCCAGGGGATGTGGTCGTCGGGGCGTTCGAAGACCACGGGCGCCAAGTGCTGGCTGAGCGGCTTTGGCCTCTCGTCGTCCCTACCATACCGCTTGAAGGTGACGACGCGAAGGCACGCCTGAGCGATGAACTGCAGGACGAGCCTGTGCTGCTTCATGGCGGCCTTGACCGACTCCGCCGTAACTTTCGCGACCGCATGGGAGGCTGCCCCAAGACGCGCGAAGTAGTCTGCCCACGCATTGCCTATCCAGTCCTGGATTTCGGCTGCGCTGCGGTCGGCAAGCTCACTTGCAGCACGATGCGCTGGAGTCCAGCGGAGCACAGGGGCGTCTACTATAGTCCGCTCCCTGGCCGCACGAAAGATGTCACGCCAGACCCGTGCGTGCTTCCCCCGCGCACTCATGAGGTCTGCACTCCAGGCCGCCCCTTCGTCCGCCAAGTCTTTGAGGTCGATGACAATCTCAAGGTGGTTCGGATGGGCTTCGAGGGCGAGCTTGACAGCGGACCGCTCCGACCTGCCTACCGTCTGGACCATGCGGTCCATAGACAGCACGCACAGGAAGCCAAGTTCGAGGGTCAAACTGAACCACCGATTGTCCACAGCGTTGAACTTCAGGGAGGCTGGAGTCGTATCCAGAGCCGTCCGTGTACGACACAGGCCCCCACTCTCCCTCAGTGTCTCCCCAGCGAAATAGCTCCTTGCTGATAGAGCTGGCATGGGGCAGGCCAGCGGGAGCCACTGGCGCGCCAAACACCAGGTAGGTCTGGTCAAAAATGGGATACCCAGAGCCTAATCCGCCTGCCCGCAGCTGTTCGCAAACGTCAAGGAGATGCGACGGGATCTCGAGGAACTTGGCCTGCTTACGACCGCGGGCGCCAGTGGGCTGACCGGTGGTCTCCCCCTGCGGCTGTCCAGCCTCCAATCCAGGCTCCACACACCCTGACGATGAGGGCAGTGCTGGTTCGTCTGGGGGGTGGTCCTCCTGGTAGTCCTCGTCGGCAGCATCGCCGACAGCAGGGAAGAAGTCGAGATCCTGGGTAGCCGGCTTGGAGTCCTGGGCCTCAGTGCCGGCAGGGCCACCCGCGTCGGACGGCACAGGCACGGCGTCATCCCTCTGGGGTCTGATCGCCGTCACTGTCTCGAGCCTTGCGTCATCCCTTTG